ACCGCGACTATAGTGATAAAATGGATTCCACATAAACCAGAAATCTGCACCCTTAACAAACGAACTGATTCAGTTACAAACTGTCAGTATACACTATCTAATGAGTAAAAAAAGCGTCCGAGATAACACGAGTGATATGCAATGCAACAAAATGATTCCCTTCTGTGGTGACTGTCGTGCACTAAGACCAGGACTAGGACCGAGGTAAATTTGTCAGGTAACGTAAACGGACAGAATATGAAGGTTTACGAGAGATGCCGTGTCTAAAGAGGGACAACGCAAAGTAGTTAACTTAACGCACAGTATGGATGTAGAGCAAACACGGATCGAAAATGGCACACGTGCACAACGGAGCTGCATGAAGCATCGACGAATGCTGATTTACCTTAAATTTCGAACACTACTGCAAATGCACAAACACCGCGACCCATGCAGTCCGACACACACACACACACGCGTAAACATTATGAAACACCCGAACTGTTCCCCTCAGGTGATGCAGACCCAGGTAACTGAAAGCGGTTGTTCATACGCCAAACGCCTCATACTCCTAGGTGTCCATATTGTTTGATTCGATTAGGTTTGATGCGAACTAAGAATCGGTCCGCAGTGCATTGTAAACGAAAAATTAAACGAGTTACATCGGACGAAATGCGAATGTTTGTGGAAATGCCAAAAACTCTTTAAAAACAGTAGAGGTCTATCCGATCGTAAATGAGAACGGATTTGCATATGAATAACTGCAAGAAGAGGAGAAAACAGTGTTTGTTCACATTTACGCATCTGTTTGGTAATCAGTAGGTGGCCAATGATCTTTACACACATTGATCGAGCTCTCAAATGTCACAGCTTTAGGTCTTGTCAGTCAGACAATAAAATGGGGGGACAAAAACCGGAGAAGAAACAACAGGATAGAATACGGAAAAGTTAGATGAAAGAAAGTAAGTGGGGCGTAATGTGCAATGCCAGTCCATTCATACTCAGGGGTCCAGATACCGACTGTGCATGTCTAGTGCACCGCGACCAACTGAACTACCACACCTGTAATGATCAGTTTAACGGTAAGTCTTTTAGTGAGTTCGTAGGATATAGCGGAATGATTGCCGGCATTCCAAAACAGCAAATCAAGAAAGTGCGCTCAGGAGACCACGTAATCAAAAAAGACTGGCGTCATTATTAAAGAGAAAATCTTCATAAACTCGCTCACGTTTTTATCTTTGATACGTAAAGACAAGTGCTCGGCCACTTGCTGTTCAGCTTCCAAAACGGTGCGGGTGAGACTGAGTAAACTTGTTTGCTCCGCGGCCTGCACAAGGCTGACGGCACATCGTGTGCATTCCTAGAGAGGGGAGGGGGTATTGTATCGATAGCACATAAGTGCCATGATGCAACAAGTCAATCAATAACAAAATTAATTGGATTTCAATTATGAAAATGATACTGGCGAATTTATCTCCAAACCAATGCAAATAAACGCTGCTTTTCTCTTTCTCCTCCTCTCTTACTTAGTCACTTACTTATACAAGAATACATTTCAGTTTTAACCATCATTAATGTAGATTAACGGCCATGAGGAAGGAGCATTCATTTCCAATTCCACCTGGAATAATCATGATCTTCTTGGATCATCATTAGAATTGGGAGAGGGTTGGGTGCAGGCAGAAATTTGTGGTGGTTTGAAAACTGAAAAATTGGGTGATGTTTTGCTACACAAAAGTCTTGTGTTTTTAATAACTAACTACTGAACCACGGGGTTATTTCACCTGGTCAATCTGAGTCTCTCAGAGACCGAAATGTTGCATATGATGAACGTTAGTACACTGATAAATAACTCATTGCCACAAATAAATTGAAATTATCCTCTGAAAAATCTGCCATCAATTAAAGACTAGAATCATATCTCATAAAATGTGAAAATTGACACTAAAAAGTGGATATTGAGGTGTTTCCCTAAAAAAATATATTTTCACACACGTCTGAATCCTGACAGTGCCAAATAAATCTTGGTACAAAAATCTTTATGAAAAAAAGAAAACCGTCCCGAGATTTGCATATGGGCGGAATACTGCCAGGTTGCCCAGGTCAAGGCAGGTGAGTTTTCTTGAGGAATTCACAACCGGAAACTTCGGCTAGCCAAAGCCTGACCCGCAAGGCAGCGGGGCGGTGTGAAAACCGCAGTCCATTTGGAGCCCGTATCCAGTTCATCGAATCATACACCCCTCGGACTGGGTCAAACGTCCAAGGTGCTCAATACACCTCGATAACCAATCAAGCCGGTGACCACTGCCACAACCAGGAAGTTGTGTATATGGTTCCTACGCCTCCTCATGGTTTGTTTTTAATCAGGGTTTTTGGCCAACTCCCCTAGGTGAACTAACAGTGTTCCACTAACCCGGTTATAGCCCCGGATGTCGGTTTTTCGTCCCCTCACTTTGGTGGGAAACACCTCCGTTTTCAAAACTAATCCTGTACTTTCATAATGCGCAAAGTGAATGAAAGATTCAAACTGCTTTACGATACAAGTGAGGCGCAGAAAAGCTTATAAGTCTCGCACCTCAGTGAATGACGTCAACCGAAAAACGGTTTGTTGCATCACGAAGGGAATTCTCCAGCAAGGCACTAAGGCGCAGAAAGGAGGCCTACCGTAGGAGAGTAAGAAAATGATTATATATAGTCTCCACAGAAAACAGCTGCAGAGATAGTAGGAACAGATATTCTGTAATTCCCAAGCACCACTGTTCGGAAATGAATGGCTAAATTTGAAATGCAACTAAACTCAGTCAATATCGAGTCACTATTCAACGCCAAACAAAGAACACGTGTTGGTGTTGCCAACGTAGTCAAACCGCGTCACCTGTCACCTTTTGGTGTTTAGTTTATTTTGGTGACAAATGCCTGGTAATTGACAAACGAGGCACAGGGCAGCGAAGGTCGTTTGGAAACCCAATTCAAATATTGTGTTATGATGTTTTTTAACCTTTGTACATGAAAGTTTCAATGGGAAACTAGTGTTTACAATGCTCGAAAAACAACGGTTAACACAATAACACACCTAAAATATTTATTTTGAGGTAAAGTAAACAAAAATAGTATGCTATTCAAGAAGTCCAATCACATTACATTATGGGAACTTAGCTATCCTAGAATCGTGTGAAGACACTTACCTTGACCAAGTTGGGCAGATAGGTGCCCATATCTTGAACGTTGTGGGCCATCAATTCCCAGTGTCCATGTTGCCAATTCTCGACCGCCTCCACCGTTTGCTGCTCGATCTGGTGTACACAGGATCGTATCAGGGCTAGGGAACTTTCGACGCGCTGTGAATTGGTTATCAGGGCAGTTGTGGTTGGCTTTTTGTTAGGGGTCAAATGGAGTAATGTGTTGTCCATTTCCGATAACAGATTTTCGATCACCTCTCTGACCCATTGGCAAGCGTCCACACCCGGCTTCATTTGACTGGTTAACATTTTGCAAAAAGCGGAGGAGAGGAGATAATCAATGAAACGAAGTTATATATCTCTGAATTTCAGATCGCCATCACAGTTTATCAACCAGGCTTTATTTTATCAACAACAATAATAAATCCTAACTTGAGATTGGTGTTGACGCTATACTTTAGTTGGCCAAGTAGTAGAGTACGTCTGACGCGACAAACAGCTGTTTATTGTGCTATGGAACGTATTTAGCCACTACAAAGACGGGAAACAGTACACGGAACAATGGCAGGTTACTATAAATTACACTAAACGGCTACATGTTATCTTCGCCACGATTGTACCAACGAACAGTACGAGAGCCAAGGTGCTAACGCTGAATGTGTATACCGCTAATAGTTAGTCTCACTTTTCAACTCATTAGTATTCAAAAGTTTCAGTTAATCTAACAATAGCTACACTTTCGTGAGATAGTTTTGCTTCCTGTCGTCTGTTTGTCTTTTGGATAAAGGAGTACGAAGAAGAATGGAATAATGAGTGTCAAGGCAAGAATAGAGAAGTATGGCAGACAAAGGTTGCAACGAGACTGAGATGCAAGAGAACTACTATTTTTGACATAACGATATCACTCAGTGTCTCCAACCATCGGTTACGCTGATCTAGGAAGCCTACTCCGACCTAATTAACTGAGTATCATGGGCGGAGTTTGCAAATACTCGTGTACGGCCTTAGTGAGACCACCTTCAACCTTTTCCATCATGATAAACAACCGCAGAAAAGCCGTCGAAAACGGATGCCCACAATACACTATCACCGACAGTTGCAAATCGGCCTTCGAAGCAGAACTATCAGAACGCCTCTCAACTCAACCATCAGCCGGACGACTCAGCGAACACTGGTCGGCAATCAAGGAAGCGATCCAAATTTCAATCAAAACAACGATGAACTCTGGCGCACGATCAAACCAAAAACGATGGATCTCCTCAACCTCGGTTGCCCTGATGGACGCTCGCAAAGCCAATCCATTCGATTCAAGATACGACAAAGAGCGCAAATCCCGTAAAGGCCAGCTCATCAAGAGTTTGAGGAATAACCGCGAGAAGTGGTAGGTAGGAAAGTGTAGACAGATGGAGAAGGCTGCGCCTATTGGTAATAGCCGCAATCTTTTTCGTTTATTTAAGACTACAGGATCAAGAAAAGCAGGCGTAAGAGAGGTACTTAAGGAGTGTGACGGCACACTGATTCAAATTCAGGAACGTCGTCTTGAACGTTGGGCAGAACATTTTAAGGCACAGTTTAGCCGGTCCCCTTCGACACAAGACTTTTCCCCACTCGATTCAACTGTGCAAATACTGCCAGTTGACATCAGTCCTCCATCTGAAATGGAGGTTACCCGGGAAATAAGTCACCTCAAACGGCATAAGGCTTCCGGCCCCGATGGGCTGTTCCCATCCGTTTTTAAGAATGGACGCTCAGCCTTGGTAGTGGAGTTAACAAAACTCCTCGCCTCAGTGTGGGAAAAGGAACAGGTTCCAACTGAATGGTGTGAATCGGTGATCATACCGATTTACAAGAAAGGTGACAGATCCTCCTGTGAAAACCACAGAGGAATTAGTTTAATCAATATTGCCTCTAAACTTCTCGCC